CTTGTAGATATGGGGCCCAAATTGGCTCACAATATTCTAAATACAATCTGACCACAGCTTTCATGTATATTTCATACAGGCATCACAGGCAGTTTGGATTTCTTAATGTATATTGACCAAGGTTTATCTGCGCAGTATCTCCTTATTTTTTTGACCAGCTGACTTGGATACTTTCAGGTCTTTCCTGGTCTGCAATGTCTACAGTCATCAGTTTATTTATTTGTTGTGTTGTGTGGCTGTATATGCAAGGGAATTATTACCCATGCATTGCTTTTTATTAGCTGTACAATCCAAACCATTCAGACTAAAGCTAGACAAAAATACAGTTAGTGCTTTTACAACACAGAGGGGTAGATTTCAATGGTTACAGGCTGCTGTAAATTTGCTTTTTCATTATACTTCCATGTTGAGCTGCAGTATCTATTTGGTCTCTATCCAGTGAGATGTCCTTATAACCTCTGCAGTTCATCTTTATACAACGGCTATTCAATGGAAGAAAAATTTGTTGTAGTCCCACAGGAACATAGGACCACTCTCTTCACAGAGAGAGAGAGGTGACTGATGGTAAATTTAACCTGAGTGTCACTATACTGTTGGTGAGGTGCAAGGTTGAGAAGGTGGGTTATTCATATATATTTTAGGAACACATATCAATTTCTGAGAACTTTTACATAAACCCTGATAACAAGCTAGTCTTCTTAGCACCTTCACAGGCAATGGAGAACTTTTTGAGGAGGGATTCAAACTGAATAGAAAGGATCTTAAATAAAAACCAGAAATTGTTGGAGAAACTCAGTAGGTCTGGAAGCATCTGCAGAGAGAGAAAAACAGAGGTAACATTTTGAGTACAATATGACTCCTACAGAGCAGTCGTAGAATCCCTGCAGTGCGGCAAGAGGCCATTAGGCTCATCGAGTCTGAACTGATTCTCCAAAGAGCATCCTACCTAGACCCACACCACCACCTTATCCCTGTAACCCCGCATTTCCATTGGTCAATCTGTAGCCTGCACATCCCTAGATACTATGGGCAATTTATTGTGGCCAATCCACCCTAACCTGCACATCTTTGGACTGTGGGAGGAAACCGGAGCACCCAGAGGAAACCCACACAGACGTGGGAAGAATGTGCAAACTCCACACACACAGTTGCCCGACCCTTGGTTCAGGTCATGTCGGATCGGGTCGAATTCAGGTCGAATTACACATGTACTCAGTGCGTATAGTGACGAATTACAGCGCTAACGTAGACACAAAAGTACCTAGGCACAGCTCCTTCAGTTACAAGATCTTAGACAACAGAGAAATAAAATGTCTAACATTACAGAAATAAAGTTCGGTACAACAGACCCATGCTGGCACCTAGCTTTCAGTCCGCACCGACCCCCAGCTCCAGGCCACACCGAGCCCCACTCCAGGCCACACCGAGCCCCGGCTCCAGGCCGCACCGACCCCCGGCTCCAGGCCGCACCGAGCCCCGGCTCCAGGCCGCACCGAGCCCTGTCTCCTGGCCGCACCGAGCCCCGGCTCCAGGCCGTACCGAGCCCCGGCTCCAGGCCGCACCAAGCCCTGTCTCCTGGCCGCACCAGTGACAAGCCATGCTGGGAGGCTGCTGCAGGAGACCTCTGTGCCAGGCCAGGAGGGCACCATGCCACACCTCATTGGGAAGCTGCTGCACCAAGCCAGGAGGTGTAATGGGAAGTCACTGTGCCAGGCCAGGAATCGTCACTTGCTGTCGCTGAGGCAACAAAGCTAACCACTGAGCCACCGTGCCAGTATATATACGTCATACTGGACTCAAAATATTGTCTCTCTATCTCTCTCCACTGATGGTCCTGGACTTGTTGAGTTCCCCAGCATTTTCTGTCTTTATTTCAAATTTCCAGCATCTGCAGCGTTTTGCTTTTATTTATTTAAAAAGTCTTAATCTGGATCAAGCCTCAACACTCAAAAAGCAACATCATCATTTCAATCAACCGATGATTCCTTAAGTGCCACGAAACAGACCTGGCAAATATATTTTTTCACTTGGTTTGAATTGTTACCACTGCAAGCTATATATTAAATGGATTCATTAAATCTGACTGCAATAATAAACTGCTCACTAATTTACTAAGGTAATGAATTCCTGATAAATCTTCCAGATGGTAGGCAAAGTAATTTCCTGTAGTTTTTTCTTGAAAACTTGTAAATTGAACTGCGGATGGAGTCTTTAAGTCCATAAATCAGACTATTGCAGGGTCATCAGGGACTTCCCCACCCCGATCAGTTCACTGTATAAGTGCAGCAGTGATAGCAGGATTAATGCAGGAAATTTATGATTGCCTCGCTTTTAATGGGGATTCACTCAGCTGCTTTTTAACCTGCCTGAGTGGTGTATGGTTTCCTCCGCAGGTGGGCGGATGAAATATCAGGACCTGCCTTGTGTTGGGAACTGACAGAAACCTGCTGGCTCTGACATTTACTAACACTAACTGCAGATCTAATTCACAACTCTGCCCTTAACTCTGAAACATAGATATAGAAACGCAGAAAATAGGAGAAGGAGTAGGCCATTCAGCCCTTCAAGCCTGCTCTGCCATTCAATAAGTCATGACTGATCATCCAACTCAGACAGAAGACATTGTGCGCTTGATACATGCCAAGTTGAGTAAGGTGAGATTATAGTAGATTTCACCGGGACATGGGATTGACTGGCAAATACACACCTTGAAATTCTGACATCTGCCAACTGCTTCCTTGCCTAAGTGAATGGTTTTTGCTGACAGGTTATGGACTTAGGAATTTTTTTTTCTGCTTTGAGGTGATTTCTAACAGCTTTGAAAACATTTGCCATGAATTCGCATTGGCCTGCTGTCAGCTTTTACTACAATGTTGAAGCTGCTTACGTTGCACTGATAAGAAAGCAGAAAAGTACCTTAATAACACCACAGAGATAGTGGGAACTGCAGATGCTGGAGAATCTGAGATAACAAGGTGTAGAGCTGGATGAACACAGCAGGCCAAGCAGCATCAGAGGAGCAGGAAAGCTGCCGTTTCAGGTCTAGACCCTTCTTCAGAAATGAACCCAAAACGTCAGCTTTCCTGCTCCTCTGATGCTGCTTGGCCTGCTGCGTTCATCCAGTTCTACACCTTGTTATCTTAGTAACACCACAGCCTTCTCCTCAGTCACCTGCCCTCCACAGGTCAAAGGTGATGGAACAGGACTGGGGCTTGTGGGAGGCAATACTCTGAAAAGGATGTAGAGGTGGGGATTAGCTATCGACACATAACAGAACAAAAGTGCAAGCACGGCACACCTTCCAACCTCAGCATGTGACATGGACCAACCATCGCTGATAAAATAATGCCTAACAGACATGAGAGCATCTAACCACTCTTCTGCTCATCAGAGCACAGCACCCCTCAGGCCTCCCTTCCACCCCTGCCCCAGAATTTACACTTTCTTTCCGCACCTAATCACCAGTCCCATTGGGGACGTAGTCAAGGTCAGGGACAGCATTCTGTTTAGTCACCTCAGCTCCTCCGAGGAATCAGCTGAGGACCTTCATAAAGGCTGATAATAATGTCACTAACATGCACTTTACCCAATGTAACTGTCTACATCCTGCTGCTGTGAGGAATGGGTGTGATGTTGCAATAAACTCAGGATGAGTGTTATTGGCATAGGTCAGATGAGGAGCTGGGAATGTGCCTCAGGAGGTAGAGGCACTGAAATAGCCCACAACTGGTCATCATGATGCCTGCTCACTCTAACTGGAGAGGAAATGCAGGAATCAGTTACAAATGAATGGAAATTCTACTCACTGATGGGCTGCTGAAACCTTTTGGTTTCCAATGCAGTGTTCACACTACCCGTGGCTCAGATTGTTCCCCCACTGTGTTTATTGACACCAATATGCCAAAGAATTGATTGCACTACATTGGCCATCTGGCCACATTGTGCCACCAGTAGATTGGAGGCTGTATGGCGTACGGTAATTTTTCAGGAAATCAAAGGTACTTACTCAACAATCAGCAAACAGAATCTAATTAACCAGCACCTTGATAAAATTACAACAAACATAGCTCACTATTTCAAGTTACCAGCTCACAACCTGAAGTTTCTCAATAAAAGCAATTAATTCTCCATGTGGAGACTGGTTACGTATCTGAAGTAGCAGGCTATTTTGTTTTTAGGGGATGCAATGGCCTAGTGGTGTTATCATTGGACCATTAATCCAGAGATCTGTGTTCAAATCCTGCCATGGCAGATGGTGGAATTTGGATTCAAAAAAGAAATCTGGAATTAAGAGTCTAATGATGACCATGAATCCATTGTCGATTGTTAGGAAAATTCTATCTGGTTCATGAGGTTCAACACTCAAGGTTATGAGCCAAATGCTGGAAAGTGGGACTTGTGTAGATTTAGAGTAGTTTTCTATCAGTGCAGACTTGATGGGCTGAAGGCCCTTTTCTGTACTGTATGGCAATGATTGTAAAAAGAAGTCAATGATTTGAAAAGTGATAGCCATTTGCTATGAACTGCGCTTTCAGTTAATTTTATAAATGCCTTAATTAAGTTGCTGTGAAGTGAGGGTATCACAGAGCATTGATAATTTATTATCTGGATAGTCTCTGCATTCATTGAGAAGTGATAAAAGTGACTGGGAGCATGGTAGACTGCAATTATTGATGGACGTTAAATCTTGAATTCAGGGTCTGCTCTGACTAAATTGGCTGTTTCTAACATTGTGTAGCTGTTTAAGGAAGCAAACTCTGTTGGAACTTCAGCTCTGATTAACAGCTTTATTTCAGCAATAGATTAACATTAAGAATACATATTTTATACAACAGTTAATGCTCCAGAGAGCCAGAACATTATTGTGAATATGAATTAGCCAGCGTTATAGTTCCATATTATAAATTGCTTTCATGTAAGTAAACAAATCATAAGTCAGGGATAATGGCGCCATAAATGCTGAAACCATTTCATTTTTCCTTTTCAAATTTTAATTTCAGGTCGACTGACTATGGAACGACGTATGAGAAACTCAATGATAAAGTGGGCCTGAAAACTGTGCTGAGTTACCTGTACGTCTGTCCTACCAACAAGAGGAAGGTAAAACAATTCATTCCCAAAACACAGATCCTGTGGAAGGGAGAGAGGCCAACAACCCCCTACTTAAATCTATATATATATATATATATATATATAAAAGATAAATAGACAAGGTCCTTGACACCTTGTGAGGTGAAGTCACTGTTATTAATTTGTAGCACCGCTCTCCAAAGAAGAGTTACTGCTGTGTATTCACTTTACTGTCTATCTTATTAACAGTAACTGTAAAATGAAGGAAACTGGCAGCCCACCTTCCGAGCAGAGTTGTCTGCAGTAGATCTGTTTCTACAACATATGCCAGGTTATTACTTCCCTGAAACATAATCTCTGATTACTTATGGAATGCCTTTATCCAGTAGTGTACGACAGTATTAATATACTTGTGTGCTACAGTTCCAATGCTGTGATGTTTACGGTCTTGAAGAACGATATTCCTTCATGAGCTGTAGTTCACTTATAGAAGTGTTTCATATCTTTGCAAAAAAGAGGCTTGTTCTTATGTTGTGGGATAAATATGACTGCACAGCTTACTTGACTTGGTTTGCTGTTCTGCCTGTACAAATAGATGAAACTCTTGACCAAATTAACAATAAGAATTTGCAGGCAATGTGATAACTGTTAAGGTAATCACAATGGCCAGAGTGCATTATTCCACAATGTCAAAGTGTCTGATTATACAGTGGACACAGGAATGTCGTACAAGGAAGATATTGTGCATGATTAGATATTGTTATCTGTCAAAAATGGGGCATAATAAGGTGATGGGAGTGTTATACATCAGTAAAAGTCATTGTCATATTGTACAAATGTGGACATCTGGTAGATTTCCACCTAGATAAGCATAACTCACCCTGATTGTGCTGCTCCTGTCCAATGGTGCTGGGAATGTCAGCCACTGTGTGTTTTTTAGTTCAGTGACAAATCATTGGAACTTGACTCTTAGGAGACAGTAAGGACTGCAGATGCTGGAAGCCAGAGTCAATAAATGTGGAGCTGGTCAAATGCAACAGGTCAGACAGCATCCGAGGAGCAGAAAAGTCAACATTTTGGGCCGAAGCCCTGAATCAGGACTGGGGAGGGGGAGGGGAGCCCAGAAATAAATGGATGGGAGTGGGGTTTGTGAAACGTAGCTGGGATGCTGGTAGGTGGATGCAGGTAAGGGTTATTGCGATTGTTCCGTGGGAAGGGTGGAGCAGATAGGTGAGTAGGAAGATGGACAGGTTAGGTTAGGTCAGGGAGATGAGGAGGAGGGAGAGGGCTGGACATGTGATAAGGCTGGGGGTGGAGGGATTTTGAAGCTGGTGAAGTCAATGTTGAGGCCATTGGACTATAAGCTCCCAAGGCGAAATATGTTCCTCCAGTTTACGTTTGGGCTGACCCTGACAGTGGAGGAGGCCAAGGATGGACATGTCGTCAGGGATGTGGGAGGGGGAATTAAAATAGATGGCAACCGGAAAGTTGGTATGGTTGATGTGTGCAGAGCGCAGATGCTCCATAAACCAGTGCCTGAGTCTGCATTTGGTCTCCCTGATATAGAGGAGACCACATTGGGAGCAACAGATGCAATAGATCAGGTTCGATGAAGTACAGGTGATTCTCTGCCAGATCTGGAAGGATTGTCTGGGGCCTTGGACAGTGGTGAGAGGGGAGGTGTTACACGTCTTGCGTTTGCAGGGAAAGGTACTGAGTGTGGTGGAGAAATTGGTGGTGGGTGCAGAGCTGACGAGGGAGTCGCAAAGTGAACAGTCCCCTGCACTCACCTTTACTGGCTTCATCCCCGCCTCCTTGACCTGTCCATCTTCTGTCCACCTATCTGCTCCTCTATCCACTTTCTATCATCGCCTCCCCCTCTCTCTATTTATTTCAGAGCCCCCTTCCCCTCCCCCATTTCTGAAGAAGGGTCTAGGCCAGAAACGTCAGCTTTCCTGCTCCTCTGATGCTGCTTGGCCTGCTGTGTTCATCCAGCTCTACACTGTGTTATCTCAGACTCCAGCATCTGCAGTTCCTACTATCTCCTTGATTCTTGTTGTCTTTATGAATAGTCACACCTTGTGTTTATCAGTAACCGTGGACGTGCAGCTCCTGACTACTTATTGCCAGTTATTTTCAGTAACTCACTTAACTAACTTATTAAATGAGACAAGTGCTTCAGTGAATTAGCAGAATTGTAATCTCAAAGGCAAGTGCGTTTGCTGAAAACTCTGAGGCTGACTTTGCAGGGTTTATACATGACTGAGCACCTAAAGGAGGCGGATCCTCCTGTGCAGTGCTGAAGGAGTGAGCATTGTAATGTTAAGGATTGCCATCTTTTGGAGGAAACATTAGACATTGTGCTTAGACACTTCCAGCATTTTTAGGAAAACAGCAGAGGGTTTTAGCCTTCAACTCGGCCAATTTTCTTCCCTCAAGTGACACATCATCTAAAAGACATGATCTGGTCATTTATCTCAAAGCTGCTATTTGTAGGACCTGGTGTGTACAAATTGACTGCGCTTGCATTTTAACTAAGTCACTGGTTGGGAACTCCCATTAGATATTCCATGACAATAAGAAACATAGGCCGGTCTTCTAGAAGAGGCATGAATTTATGTAGCTTCATTTAAGTTCTACTATCTGATCTGTGAAGTGGAGATTTCAGAATGTCAATTCTGATTATGCCATCACAAAGGTGTTATATCACCGGAGCAGAAGTGCTCCATCATTGTGTAGTCCCAGAAATCACCATGGCTCTTGGGGAAATTGTGCCCATTGGGTGTTTCTAAAACTTGCTTTCACAACCACGTCTCCGTCCTTAGTGAAAATTCTTTACCCCCTCCCTGCACAGCCTCATTTTGGAAGCATAGAATTCTAGAATTTTATAGTACCAATTGAGGCCATTCAACACATTGTGTCTATAGCATCTCCTGAAAGAGCTACCCACTTAGTCCCAATCTCCAGCCGTAACTCTGCAAACCCCTAAATTCATCAATTTCAAATATATATCCAGCTTTCTTTTGAAACTTCCTATGGAATCTCCTCAACCACTCTCCCAGGCAGCACATTCCAAATCCTAATGATTCTCTCAGTAAAGACGTTTCTGCTCATCTGACTCCTAGCTGTCTTGCACATAATCTTGAAATTGTGATGCCTAGTTACTGACATACAAACTGTCAGTCAAAATTGTTCATAATTTTGAACATCTCAAAAAGATCACCTCTTAAATTTCTCTGGTCCAAGGAGAATAATGTTATTAGCAAAGAGAAGCCATTCTTTCTCTATCACAGCTTAATTTAAACCTGTTTTACATTTCTTTTACTCTTTTTTCATCATTAATAACCGCTTTCCCTTTTGCACTGGGGCTATGCCTCTGTTATACGTAAAAAAAATTCCAATACTTTCAGTTCTGAAGATGAGTCATACTGGACTCAAAATGTAAACTCTGCTTCTCTTGCTACAGATGCTGCCAGACTTGCTCATTTCTCCAATGTTCACCCTGTTTGTTGCAATTTGCATGTATTGATATGACAAAAAAAAATCTATGAGACCATTTCCTTCCCCAGACAGCTGTGGCTAACATCTCTCAGTGAGATGTGAGTCTGTTTGGTGAAAGCTTTGAATTATTAAACCATGTGCTTGGTCTTGCTTGGCAACCAGTACTGTATGTCAGCTTTTGTTCCAATGTGGTTAAGGAATGAAATTTCTGAGGTAAATACCTCAGGGAGGAGTTTACATGTCCTGAGAAGCCTAACTTGTCTCCCTGAGTTCTGGAAACAAGCATCAAGCTGATGGTGCTTTAATCCTTTTCATTGGCTGTATACTACACTGGGTTATGTTGCATTGATGACATTTTAACCATGCATAATTCATAGCAAACATTACATGAAGAGCTTTTTCAAAACTTTGTCATAATATTATTGCAGCTCAGCTGCTAACGCAGGGGAGGCCGAGTGGAATTATTGCTGGACTGTTAATCTAGAGACCTGGATAACACTCTGGGGATCTGGGTTCGAACTCAGGCAAAGCAGAGGGTGGAATTTGAATTCAATAAAGTATCTGGAATTAAGAATCTAATGATGACCATGAATCCATTGTCGATTGTCAGGAAAAACCCGTCTGGTTCTCTAATGTCCTTCAGGGAAGAAAACTGCCATCCTTACCTGGTCTGGCCCACATGTGACTCCAGACCCACAGCAATGACTCTTAACTGCCCTCTGGGCAATTAGGGATGGGCAATAAATGTTGGCCTGGCCAGTGACATCCTCATCCGGTTAATGAATAAAGAGGGGGAAAAGAAAGACTGAAATAAAGAATGTCATTGTCTGACATTTTCTGCCAGAATATAACAAGGGTCCATTTGGTTGTCAGACCCCCTTGCTGCCTCAAAATGTAAATATTTTCTCCCAGCAGGAGTTAAAAATGCCCTGGTTATTAGTAACTGCACAGTAGCTCTGTGGCATGTAAAGTTCCAATGTATCATTTGTGTTTCTTTTTCCTCATTGGAAAGATTGCACAGACAGAATGAGAACCTTTTTCGCTGTACTTATAGATCATTGCTTTTTGTGAATAAAGTACATTTTTTCAATAAAAAATGCATAAAGCAGCCCACTACCACCTCCTGCAGGGCAACTAGGGACAGGCAACAAATACTGGCCCAGCTACCGAGACCAATGTCCCACGAGTGAATAAAAACAAACTGAAATGTTCTGGAATACAAACTGCACTTTATATAATTATAGACTAATACAACATAGAATGAGATCATTTGGTTGGTCATATCTGAGCAGCTCTTTGAGAAAGTTAATGAATTAGTTCCACTTATCTGCTTTTCTCCAATATCTCTTTCATTTTTTTCCTCTTTGAATATTCATCCAATTACCTTTTGGAATTTACTATTGTTCCAATTCCTATTGCCCAAAGATCATAAGAAATAGGAGCAACAGTTGGCCATTCAGCCCCTCAAACCTGCTCCACCAATCAATAGGATCATGGCTGATCTGACATTCCTCATTCCTGCCCCTTCC